TACATGGATTTCATAACAGATCTAGTATGCAAGAACATGTAATGAATCAAATACTCTCATAAAACCATAGGAAGTATCAATACATCGAATGTATCTAAATAAAGCTCATGAACAGTACATCATAGAGTACTAAACCAACAGTCTCCTATTGGCTTAACAAAATAATAAGCTGTTAATGAAACATCACGCATCACGACAACTGGATCTGTACCATTCCCAGAAGCGAATGCTACAGAAAACAAGTCATTCACTGAAGCAAATGCTACAGAAAAAACATCATTCCCTGGAGCGAATGTTATGTCTTATAATGGCCGAGGACGTGGTTATTTTCGAGGTAGAGGCCGATGCCGAGGTCGAAGACGCGGTCGTGGTGCTAGCCGAAGTTGGATCAAAGGAGGTGGTAAAGGAAACTCATCCCAAAACTATAATTTAAACAGTAATAAAGGAGAAGTGCATGACCATCCAAATAAGAGGCTGAAAGAAAGTACATGCTACCGGTGTGGAATGACGGAACATTGGTCGCGTACTTGCCGCACAGCTAAACACCTGGTGGAACTTTATTAGAAGTCAATTAAAGAAACAAAAGGGAAAGACATGGAGACCAATCATGTCATGAGTGATTATGATGATGATGCTAGTGGTGCTAAAGACTTTGCACACATGGACATTGCTGATGATTTTGCTCATCCTGAAGATGGAGCCGGTTATGAATAAAAACTATATAAATATTTGCATACTTCATATAATCAATATTATCTGCATATGCATTTTCATAATTTCATGATATGTTGTTGTGCTTTGTATCACTATTTTTACTTCATAAGTTAGTAATGCTATTATGTATTATTAATATATCTATTCTTTAATGATTGTCATGTTGTTTTGTTCTTAGAAAAAGAATATGGCTAATTCTGTGGATATCATATTGAAACTATGAATGAGAATGACAATGATTATTTATATATCACCTTAATCAATTCGGGATAAAAGTATATATTGGAAAAACTATCCATTCTATCATCGAGATTATATTATACTAATATCAATGTGATTGAATCACATGTCATAGTAAACCAGAAGTTTACTAATACGTTCAAAGTTTGGCATGATCGATTGGGTCACCCGGTGCATTACGATGAGAAAAATCATCGAAAACTTTTATGGTCATCCATTGAAAAACCAGAAGATTTTTCAATCGGGTGAGATTTCTTGTGATGCATGTTCCATAGAAAAATTAATAATTATACCATCACAAGTCAAAATCGGGCATGAATTTTTGGAAAGTATATATTGAATACATTCGTCATCCATTATACGATATCTTGAGCCATAAACTGGAGATATTTTTAAGGCTCATTTTGCTGATTATCATTTTAATGAAATTGAATCCCACCATTAGGGGGAAAAATTATAGAATGGTGGAAAATAGAAATGATCATAATTGATGTACACCATCATTATCCCATTTGATCTCCCAGCAAAACAACGAAAACTAAAAGTTCAAAGGATTATACATTTGCAAAATGTTGCAAATCAGTTACCTGATACATTTGCAGATAGAACTAGGGTAATAAGATATTATATAGATGCTGCAAATGTTCCTACTCGGATTGAAATTCCGAAAGAACAAATGAAAGAAAATTCGACAAACGATTCCAAAATATGCCTGAAGCGTGGATGAACTATTGGTTCTAAAGACAGATCCCCGAAAGAGCAAAGGGTCCAAGAAAATAAAATGCTCAATTCGGAGGAACGCGTTCCCAATCAAAAAAATGAAGTACCTTGTGATGATGGTACAAATCCAGATAATAGAAATCGTGAGATAATTAATTATATCAGTAATGGTACATTATATCAGTAATGGTACATTATGGAATCGAAAAGAAATCAAAGACATTGATGATATATCCTCTTATAATATATCAAAGGAAATTGATGAAAAATGAGGATACAGAACCCAGATCTATTTCGAAATGTCAAAAGAGACCAGATTGGAATAAATGGAGAGACGCAATACAAGCTGAATTAGATTCGCCTAATAAGCGAAAGGTATTTGGACATATTGTTATTAAAACCGAAAGAAGTTTCTCATGTTGGATGTAAATATGTATTTGTGCGGAAAAGAAATGAGCACAATGAAATTATAAGATATAAAGCTCGTCTTGTAGCACAAGGATTTTCCCAAAGACCAGGAGTAGACTACGAGAAAACTTATTCTCCTGTTATGGATGGTATTATATTTCGATACCTAATTAGTCTTGCAGTTTTAAAGAATTTGGAAATGCGTCTCATGGATGTTGTTACTTCTTATTTATATGGGTCACTTGACACGAGTATCTATATGAAAGTCCCTGAAGGATTTAAAATGCCCGAAACATTGAAAGCAAAACCACGAGAGTTATGTATGTCAAGTTACAACGATCATTGTATGAGCTAAACCAATTAGGACGTATGCGGTATAAACATCTAAGTGAGTATTTATTGAAAAATGGATATACAAGTGATCATATATCACCATGTGTATTTATCCAAAAGATGATTTAAATATTATTGGAACTCCCTGTGAAATCCAAGATGCATCCACTTATTTAAATGGAGAATTTGAAATGAAAGATTTTGGACAAACCAAATATTGTCTTGAGTTATAGATAGAACTTTTGAAAGATAGAATCTTTTTACATAAATCTAATTATACAAAACGGGTACTAAGACGATTCAATATGGATACGACAAATCCACTAAGTACCCCGATGGTTAATAGAACATTGGACATTGAAAAGGATCCATTTCGTCTTCGCGAAGATAATGAAGAGATACTTGGTCCTGAAGTACCGTATCTAAGTACAATAGGAGCTCTTATATATCTTGAAAATTGTACTAGACTGGATATATCATTCGTTACCAATTTATTAGCAAGAATTAGTTCTACCCTAATACAAAGACATTGGAATGAGGTTAAACATATATTTTGTTATCTTAATGGATCTATTGATCTTGGATTGTTTTACCCTAAAAACACAAAACAAGAAATTATTGGTTTTGCAGATCAGGTTATTTATCAGACTCACATCAAGGTAGGTCACAATCAGGTTACATCTTCACAGTCAATGGAACTGCGTTAGCCTGACGTTCTGAAAACAAAAGAGCATACTCTAGTTGCTACTTCAGCTAATCATACCAAGGTCATCACGTTACATGAGGCGAGCCGAGAATCAGTGTGGTTGAGATCATTATCTCAACATATTCAAAAGGCTAGTGGAATACCTATCGACACGACGCCAACAATATTGTTTGAAGACAATGTTGTGTGCGTTGCACAGACCAAGAAAGGATTCATCAAAAGTGATAGAACAAAACATATTCCCAAAAGGCTAGTGGAATACCTATCGACACGACGCCAACAATATTGTTTGAAGACAATGTTGTGTGCGTTGCACAGACCAAGAAAGGATTCATCAAAAGTGATAGAACAAAACATATTCCCCCGAAGTTCTTCGCATACACCCAGGAGCTTGAAAGGAATAAGGAGATTGAAGTCAGATATATACGATCATGTGACAATGCAACAGATCTATTCACTAAGGCTCTTCTGACAATGGTGTTCAAGAAGCATGTACATAATATT